AAAAAAAAAAAAAAAAAAAAGGAAAAGAAAGAGAACAGAACCTGAGCGCTGTCAAGTTAGAGGATCGGCTTGGAAAAATTCGTGGAACCTGGAAATTAAATTAATACTGACCATCCAACCCTACCTTCCGTTTGCTCCAGGGTGTGTTGGTCTGTGCCTCGCTGTCCTGAGCTCTGGGCACGTGTTTGGCACAGGCAGAGGGATGAGTCCTGCTGGCAGCCCTTTGCAGAGGAGCTGCGTGCGAGGCGCCGGGCTCGTGGCATGAGAGATGGGGGCACTGATTCACCTAATGGGACTTGGCACTGCTGGGCAGCCCAGCTCTTTTATTGTCCCCTGAGCTGTGCTCAGTCAGCTGCAAAGCGGGCACTGCTCTTTTGTGTGTCYGTGCTCACTTTCTGGAACACTCGTGCTCCCTGCCCTGCGCTCCCGGCTTGCTTTCTGCTGGAAAAATCCCAGTCACAGACAAGGACAGTAATGCTGACCTGTTCTGGGTTTGCTCGTGCTTCAGCCCCCACGCTCCTTCCTAAATCTGTAAACGTGTTGATCTGAAATTCAGCAGAGAGRGGGCTGGCTGGTGGAGCTGCAGACGTGGTAAAACCTGATTTTTGGGAGACAGTCGGCTGTTCCTTTTGGCTCTCTGTGATGCAGAGTTCTGTGAAAATCCTGGCACCTTGGGGTCTGGGATATCTTCACTTAAGCACSAAGGCAAGCCTAGGGTTCAGCTCTGAAGCCGTGCCCTAATGGATGCTGTCCCGTGCTTTCAAAAGTCTGCCTGAGCTCCTGCACTTCCCCTGCAGCAAACCTCAGAAGAGATGAAAACAGGCACGCTTGCAGATCTGAGGCACCCACACAAGTGGGGTTTTATCCCCACTAAACACTTTGGCAAAAGCCCCGTGGTGAGGAAGCTRGAGGGTGCTGGGGTGGATGGAGTCAGCCCCGGAGCTCCCTGGAGCGTGGTTTGGGATACCCAAAAAGGCTGAAATTCTGCAGAGTTTGTGGGTTGTAATGTTTGGTTCTGGGACCTTTAGGGGGAGGAGAGGAGGCAGAATCAGAAAGCGCTCAGGGATCTCAGGCAAAACATACAATTAGAAAATAAAATATTTAAAATAAAAWATTTAAAACATMAAACATTTCCGAAGTGAACGCAGCTGCTCGCCGTGCGACCGAGCCGTGGCTCACTCAGAAGCCCGGGATGACCTTGTTTGCTGCACAGACAGTGACCATCTGGTGCCTGGGGTCAGGCAGGACACCTGAGGAAGCGTTCTKCGAGCACAGAGTGCTGCTTGTGCAATATTTTGGCAAAGGAATTAGACCCTGAGGTGAGCACGGGCTCGGTGAGGATGCACCTGAGAGCCTGGAGGCTTTTCCRTGTCAGCAGAGCTCTGTCCGTGCTGCTGCAAAAAAAAAAAAAAAAAAGGGCTCTGCTGGGCAGGAAGGTATTTTTATGTTCTCAGAGATCCAGGTCTGTGCTGTGTCCGGGGTAACTGCGTGTTTTTGGATCAGACACGTGGCACTTCTGCTTCCTTCGCTCTGCTCCTGCTCTGGGATTTCTCCCGTTGCTTATGTCAGGATGGCTGAGCTTGGGAGTGCTCCTGCAGCCTGAGCTCAYGTCCCAGAGTGAGTTTGCTGGGATTGTTTGGGATACTGTGGCTGGAGAAGAGCCATTCAAAGTAAACCAAGTTCCTTTCCCGTTTTTCACTTTCCCCCAAGCGGGATATCAAGCTTTTGTTTTATTTTTGATGGTGTGTCAGGGCAGGAATGCAGTGATGCTTATCTTGGGGAGTATTTGTCAGCTCCCACAGAGCCCAAATCATAGTCAATATTTGGGCTCATTTTACTGCTGCATGGGCTGCCCTGCCCTGGGTTGATTACTTGGCCAGGGGTAGTGGTCCAGCYTTAAAGTTGGGAATAGACACMACTGAGTGCCCTCATCCTRCCTRTTTTTGCTTTTCACAGTGCCTGCARTGTTTATTRTTGAGAAATCAGCACCATCTAATTCCTAAATACAGGCAAAAAAGATGGGTCCTGCTTCTTTGTCCAGCTGATCATCTGTGGGTTTGGCTAGGATGGCCTTCCTCCCCTTCCAGCTATCCTGTAAAAAAACTCTCAAATTGTGTTTGTCATTGGTTCTGCTGGTCTGTAGAACATTCTGGAGCTAATTCCAGGCTTTTCCATCAGTGTGAGAAACAAAGCTCACTCTTTAATTTTTAAAGATTTAATAAGGGACAATAGGGGACAAAATCARTATGGCAAAAGGGACAGCAYTGGGCTTGTAGCTCTAGCTATGGCACAGTTGTTAACAATAGCAACTTCTTTATATATTGGTTCTATTGTGTTAATTAAATAGATATTTATAAGCAATTATATATATTTAAACATTTTTACACTGGTT